AAGGGAATCGGTTTGATACGTCCCTAGATGCATGCATACATGCATATGCATATGCATACATAAGTGCGTGCATATACACATCCATACATATATACATACTTACATACATACTTATATAAATACATACATACTTACAAACTTACATACACACTTACATACATACAAAATATACACATACTAATATGTGTACATATATAAGTATGTCATACATACATGCATACATACATACATACATATATACATACATACATACATACATACATACGTACATACAAACATACATACATACATACATATCTTTATACATACATACATACACACATACATACATTCATACATACATACATACATTAATACATACATACATACATACATACATACATACATACATACACACATACGTACATACATACATACATACATACATATATGCATACATGCATGCATAAATGCTTACATACATACTTTCATACATAAACACACATGCACAACTTTATATACATTGCCAGCATAAACTTGCTATCACTCAACACTTATAATAAAAACATTAAAATCTGTTAAGCCTAAATACATATATACATACATACAGATATAGAGGCATGCAGACATACATAAGTACATAAGTTACCGATCTTGACGAAGAACTCAAAAACTCAAATGTGGATTAATAACAAAGTTATCATAAATCGTAAAGGATATCTACCCTGATATCTATATATACATATATCTATATGTATATCTATATCTATGATAAAACAGCTTATCTTACCAGATGCGCATTGATATATATATATATATAAAGTATAAGTATAAAGTATGTATATAGCTCGTTTTTATAATGGGTCTCGGGTTTAGAAATCAAATTTAATTAAAGAATTCGTAAGTTTGATTAAGCGCGTTTGTTTCTAACGAGGGTCGATATTGGGCAAACGTCAATAATGTTAAACATTAATGCAATAAGTTGTTCAGCAACAACAAATATAACAGCGACAACAACAACAATAACAAACATCGAATATTGATGAAAAGAGCCGCGCACGCGGATAAAAACGCAGACGCGACATTGCGTGATAAACATTTCTCAATGGGCATCGGAATTACGTGGAACGGGGCTGGGAAGAAGGGGTATTCCGATATGTATATATATATATAGTTGTGGATGAAGAATGGTTTTGGGGGACGCTGTCCGAGACTCTGGCCGAAAATGAAATGACATGACGTGTTGTTATTAAGCCGAATCCAAAAACAGAAAACAGAAAACAGGAAAACGCAGAGCTCGATTTTTTATGAATGAAATCACGTACGGGGCGGGTTTGCTTTGGTACGTTTGGATTTTGGGTTAGGGACTGGCACCTAGATCTGAAAGCTGAATCTCGACTCTCTGGACAGCCACACCCCGACGACGTCGTCATCATCGTCGTCGTCGTCATCGTCATCGGCGGCGGCGGCGGCGGCGGCTTCAAGGCGATTAGCAAAAAGCGGTAAATGTTGTGTTAAACCTCAATTAAGAAGCGGCCGATTCGAGTTCTCCAAACAGAACCGACAACAGGATGTTAACTTGGGCAATTTGAATTCGCTTTGACTGACGCCACACGCCAGGCCAAAGTCTCGAAATTTACGAGCTTAGGGCTGGATACAGCTCACAGCTCCCAGCTCCCAGCTCCCAGCTCCCAGCTCCCAGCTCCCTGCGTCCAGATCTCAGCTCCCAGATCGCGGCTCGCGGCGTTGACAGAGATCTAAATGATCTTCCAGCCTGGTGGCAGCGCACGCAACGGCAACGGCGCCTGGTAGGAGCAGGAGGAGCTGCCCTTCTCATCTGCTGCTCCTGCTGCTGCTGCTGCTGCTGCTGCTTTGGTCTGTTAAGTGCTTTTTAATTTGTTTGTGTTGAAACGTTTCCCCCCGAATGGCTCTTGCCCCACCCCACCACAGGTCTTCAGCGCGCTGAGCGCTTTTATCGGGAATCAGGCGAGCTGAGTGCAATTACGACACCTTCAAAGCCTAGCCATGCCCATCCCAAAGCCACTTAAACGCATCCCTTGGGGGTTGCACGCCCACCACCAGCCATCAGTGGGTGGTGGGCGGCAGATGGTGGGTGCTGGCTGTGCTGGCTTTTGCGATTGGGCTCTGTTACCTCTGCCAGCAACGTTGACTGAGTGCCAAGACCTAATTAAAATAACTTGGTCAACGGTGTGAAAATTACACGCAACTAACCAAGCATCAATCGCTATGCCCCTGCCCCGTCCCCTTGTCTACCTGGTATGCCACCACATTAATGGCCAGTTGGGCATTTGGTGGCCACTTTAATGAGTCCACGCAATCACTGGCCACCACTCGCAGCCGCCTTCTGCCTCTGCTTCTGCTTCTGCCTCTGCCTCTGCCTCTGCCGCCAGTGTCTGTCTGTCACGTCTGCACATCATGTGTCATTTTTAATGTCTTTTTAAATAACTTGGGGGACGAGTGTGAACATTTTCTCACTCATTTTTATTATGCTTTCTTTTTGTTGCTTATTTATTTATTTTTTTAATTTTTAATGAACTGCCATTGCGGCTGTGTATTAATTTTCGCCTCGTTGTGGGTTGAGCTCCTATTGGGTGAACAACAGAGAGCCAGAAGTGCCGTTAGCCGTTAATGAGTGTCAACCACAAAATGGCGGCTTGCAATATAAATTGGAAGAAATGCGTTTACCATAAAACTAGCTGGCGATGTAAGTACGTGTGTATGTATGTATGTATTGGTCGATTCAGCCGATTTTCCCCCTGTTTCTTAAATGTGTTAAACACGACTTTAATTGAATTTAAGATTCCGATCTATCTATGGATATTGGGAAAATAATCGGACGGTTAACGAAAACGTTTCGTATAAAGATTTTCCCCTTTTTTTTGACAAATGTGGGATGCATTTTAAAAGACTTCGCCTAGCGTAAAAAATTATAACAAGAGTAAAAATGCAGTTTTTTAACGTTCATGTCTAAGGCTAAGCGAATATAATCAATCAGTCAGTCAATTAGTCAGGGCAGGAATAAATTTGAAATAATATTAATTATTAATTACTTAATATTAATAACAACAGGTTCCGTGTTATTTAAACTAAAGTTAAATGAGGAGAAAAGTTAAAAGAGTTGGAAAAGTTTGGCACAAAAGCTAAATGCACTTATATCATAAAATGTAATATATATCAGAAAAAAATTATTCTTATTTTAAATGTAAGACTAAATTTCTAATTTTTAACATTTCTTTAAAATTTCAAATAAGTGTTGCCCCGGTTACTTAATTATAAGGATAAGGATAAGAATTTGCATTGCAATGCATTCCTCTCAGACTGCTCCTTCAAAGCTATTAATTAAATTCGGATTCAGGAACGAAAACACAATCAGATTGCCACAACTGTGGGTCAATACGCAGAGTATGTAAATATATGCATAGTACACACATATGACAATCTGCATGCAAAGCAATAATAAGATGTGCTCCGCAGCAACAATATCATCAGTAACAACAGCGCCAATTGTAGTCATTTGTAATGAAGCCATTTTGAAAAGCAACAACAACAACGACAACAACGGCAAAAACAGCATCCACACAAACAAAAAACAACTGCAGTGGCCTGAAGCGAACTCCATCATCAAAACAAAAGCAGCACCAACAACAACAACAACAACATCAACAACAGCTTCGGCATCAGCATCCGCCCCGAGCGCCTGGCCACTGCCCTCTCTCGATACCCTAGCGCCCCCCAACCTAGTACCATCGCAAGCTTCGCCAGCCCACCTTTACTCTTATATTATGTACCCGATCCAGTTGCCAGAGTCATTCACTTGCACATTAGGCAGCAAATTGACATCGATACTAAACAACTACTACACCCAAACTATACATGCTCTCTAAGTGCGAGAGCGAGAGAGAGGCCAGCTGCGTAAGAGGGAGCGAGCGAATGAGAGAGGGCATCATTTAACTGCTGCCAATTTACTGTTTAAATGCCAAACAAAAAGTGTTAACAAGCGCAAAAATAACAAAAGACACCAACACACGCACACACAGAAACACAAACACACACACACACACACACACACACAGAGAGAGAAAAGAGCCTGGCATCCAGACAGCCCCTTTGGCGCAACAGTCTTGACATGTGTTAGAGCAAGCACGCTATATAACTGTGGTGAGACCAAGACGGACAAGAGTGCGTGAGTTGTCTTTTAGTATGCTGTGCATGTGTGTGTCTGTGTGTGTGTACGTGTGTTAACCAGTTTATTGGGGCGGAGCTTACAGATGCTGGATTCTGCTGCTCACAACGGGGTTGCAGCATCCTAAGCACCAGCAACAGCAACAACAACAAGAGCAGCTGCTACTCAGCGCTGTGTTGAGTTCGGAGAGTTGCTATAAAAAGTGTCACACAGCTCTTAAAACACAAATACAAATATATGAACATATATCCGTGTAAGTACTTGACTAGATTTTTACAAGCTCAGTGCGACAACAACACGCGGCAATAGCAACAATACTAACGTTGCCATAAAATGTTTATGGCACGTCAACTAACCGTTATGTTAGCTGTCGGCTCTCACAGCGTCGCGGCCATTGCCAAATGTACTCAACCCACTACACTCACGCACCCATACACATACGCAGAGAGAAAGAGAGCGAGAGAGGGAGAAAGAGAGACAGTGAGAACGCTGGCGCTGATTGAAACCTAATGAATGTCAATTGCTGCCAATTACGACCAATAAATGCAGGCAATAGATGACAACAACAGCAACAAATACACAGAGCAAAACTCACCACGGCTGAGAGCAGAGCACGCGGGTGTGTGTGAGCGAGACGACGACAGGTGCACGCTTGGCACTCGACTGGTTTGTTTGCTGTTGTTGTTTTTCCTGTTGTCAATTCTCCCCACTTTTTTACTGTTTTTGTTTTGGCCGTTAACAGCCAGCAGCAGCAGCAGCAGCAGCAACCGCAGCAACAGCAGCAGCAGCAGCAGTTGCCCGCTTTGGCCGACGCTTGGCTCAGTTTCGGTTGAAAGCCAAAGGCGAGCGGTTCTCTCACGGCTTTTGTTGAGCTCGGCTCGTCTCGTCTCGTCTCGTCTCGTCTTGTCTTGTCTTGTCGAACAAAAACATCGTCAAGTACAACGGACATTGAATACACATCGAGCTGAAAAACAAACACGCGAGTTCAAAGCACAAATACGCATAAATATAGACGAAAGCGCCGTTAATCGGGAAAATTTCGCCAATTATTTTTTTGTTGTTGTTGTTTGATTTTGGTTTGTGCCGTCGGCAAAAGCTTAAATAAAAAAGCGCAGTGGTAGAGAGACAAGTGAAGGAGTCGGCGCCACCACATGACCACAATGCCACCGGAAATGTCCACAACTACGGCAGCCGTTGGGGACACACCGGGCAGCCTCACGACTTCGCCCTCGGCCACGCAGGCGCCGCGTTCCCGTTTCATGATCACCGACATTCTGGCGGGGAGCGCCGCTGCTGCTGCCGCTGCTGCCGCCGCCGCCGCAATGGCTGCCGCCGCCGGACGTAGTTCCGCCAGTCCGCCAGAAGATTGCTACGCGCCGCCGCCTATCCGCGACCCACAGCAGCAGCAAGCGCAGCAGACGCAGCAGCAAGCCCAGCAGCAGGCTGCACTGCAGCATTACCTGGCACAGCAGCAGCAATTGCTGCGCTTCGAGCGCGAACGTGAGCGCGAACGCGAGCGGGAACAGTATCATCATGTGGCCCCGCTGCTTGCTCACTTTCCACCCAGCCACTACGCGGTTCTCCAACAACAGCAGCAGCAGCAGCATCCTCATGCACATCTACACCGTTTCGCCCGGCAAGTGGGTCGCGAAGGATCGCCGCCGCTGTCCAAGGATTGCCACACAACAGCCGCGTGGAATACGGTAAGTGAACTGCCAGGCAATCAATCAACAAATCAGTCAATCAATCAAGATCTGTCTGTTATAGTGCTTGCAAACAATTAACCTGTGTTACAATTTTGTGAGGTCTCATTAGCTTTATGGAATGATTCATTCTAGATACATCTTGATTGACAATCATTTGGAGTTTAGCGATCAGATGATATGCTTTGTCAATTATTATTTAGGATGTGCTTAGGGTAATATATTAGTTTTGATTCACGTTTTGAATGAGCTATTATTGATACATCTTGATTGATAGTGATACGAACTCTCTGAGATGATAGGCTAAGACGTTACTTGTTACGCAGATTATGGCTAAATATATATGCACATTGATTGATAATCACTCGAACTCTTTGAATAAATATTCACATATGTCATGGCTTTATACACATACATCTCGATTGATCATTATGTGAACACTTGTTTATATGCTGTTAGTCACTTTTGGAATGAATAAATATGGATACATCTTGATTGACAACCAATATAACTGCTTGAATGTTATACTGATATGTTAATTGGCAATCAGGAAATACTTGTGACTATATTCTTCTTTGATTTATTTCGGGTACGGCCAAGTGTATATACATCTTGATTGACTGTCAATCAAATATGCAAAACTTATGATTCTATTTCTTTTTCGATACATTTGTGTATTAAATGAATATAGCTACAGCTTGTTTGATCATCATTTAAACTCTTTGAAATGCTGCGAACATAATTATGATAATTTCCGGAAAATTGCACTTTGAGGTACGATTATTATTATTATTAGCTGACCTATTTGGTTTGACTAATCAATTTCATGAATATTTAAAAGTGCATATTCATAACGTTGTCTTAGACTTTCTGGAGACAGTTCCCTGCCAAAATACTTAAGCATTTGTTTTAAATAAAGTTGAAGGAGTATATTTTAAATATTTAGACAATGAACCTTTCCTTCAAAATGTGTTTATCTGAAAGTTTTTTTAAGTAAGCTTGTGTTTCTTGAGGGCTTTCAGTGTAATGCAGATATTCCTAATTGATTTAGTATAAGACTAATAAATGTTATATACCCTTAATAGTTTACTATGCCATTTATTTTTTACTTTCTGCTGTTGGTTGCTTTGTGGGCAGCAGGCACAACCGCTAAATCCACACACACATCCGCAACATCCACTTGCCCATCATCCGCATCCGCATGCGCATCCGCATCATCATCAGCTGCAGCTGGAGCGCGAACGTCTTGAGGCGCTGCATCGTCATGGCGCCAGCGTGCCGCTCGGCGGCGCATCGGGTCATGTGGAGGGCCAAGACGAACGATCCCGTTCGCCGCTCGTCCTACATTCGCTGGGCGGCAGCAATAACAACAACAGTAACAACAACAACAACAACAACAATAGCAGCAACAACAGCAGCAGCAACAACAACATTAGTGGGTGTAGCAACAGCAACAACAACGGCAACACAAGCGGTCTGTTGATGGGCGGCACCGGCAGCAGCATTAGCGGGGATCAGGCGAGCACCATTGACGACAGCGACAGCGACGATTGCGGTAAGTAAGGAAAGCTCTAACTGACTCCAAATCCAGAATGGGAAAACATTTGGAATGCTGTTTCTCTCTATTTCTAAGAATCGAAGCCTGAAAGCCTAATTGTTCGAATCTTAAAGCAGCTTTTTGTAAGCGTCAAACTTTTAAACTTTTCTTAGGTGAGCTTTAAGTGAGCTTTAAGTGTGTTGATCACTTCTTGAGTCGCTTCTAGGCATCCTTTTCTATGTCTCAAAATGCCACACGAAATTAAGGTAAAAGAGTAAGCTCTTGCAGTAATATACCAGGAGATACCCTGTAGGACCAGCGACATACATGGACAAAAACAAGCGAATCCTGTGCGTTTTCTATCCTAAGTCTCACACTATGTTTATTTCTTCCTTGATTTACTTCGGATTTATATGGCATACAAAAGTGTGTATATACTAAAGTACAAGGCTTTACCTATGGTTTTTAAAAGTTTAATTTAGGGGGAAATGGCAGAGGGGGCCTGAAAGCGAAACATTTTGAATCTGCTTAAACTAACCGATTACCTCAATCCCAAATTTTGTGAAGCTGACTTCAATAATTTTTGGGTTATGCTTAAAAAACCATGCTCAAAAATATAAAAATGCTCGAGAGTGGAATAAGAAATAAAAATATACTCGGTTTGTGTATGGTGTACGCATAAATAAACACAACAATTCAAGTCTCTGGACTTTTTTAATGCTGCTCAAGAAAATATATAGTTAAAGAAGTGGGAGATGCTTACTTCTAACTGTTACACACATTTGTAAAAAATATAATAGACTGCTTACACTTTTTGTAGGGTATAAAAATGTTAAAAAAAAAGAGTCGGCCAGACAGACCGACAATCACGCGTCGTGGCAACAAAGTAGCTAAATATTCACAGTGTTTAATTATTTGGCCATTTACGAGTTTGCATGTGCACAATTATCAGCGCGAACAAGCTCCGAGAGCGGAGAATTAGTCGGCGTTCATATGCGATGCGATGCGATGCGATGCGAATGCAATGCGAATGCGACTCGATTCGGTTCGAATCGCTCAACTAGCAACTAGCTACCCTTGACAGAATGCCCAAATAACAACAACAACAACAACAACAACAGCAACAAGAGATGCCCACGTTCTGCGCCCTGCCCCCCTTTCGTAAACTGGCCAGCCGCATGCCACCTGCCGCCTGACCCCAGACAGCTTTTCGCATGCAACAATTTAATTGATTTTAATGTTTTTTGAATGCTGTTGTTGTTGTTTGTGTTTTTATTATTGTTATTGCTGCTGCCATTAGCAGTGTTTCTATTTGATTTTTGTTGTTGCTTATTTTTATTATTATTATTTATTTGTTAAGCGCTTTTAAACGTTATGCAAATTATGACAAATTACTATTAAATAGTCGTAAACGTGCGTTGGAAATTGATTTCGCTGCGAGTTGTGTGAGTTGTTAAGGCAAGCTGCATGATAAGTGATATGTGACAGAGAGAGACGGAGAGAGAGTGGGAGAGAGAGAGTGTGTGTGTTAGAGAGGGGGAGAGAGGACGAGGCAAAGTGATTGGAAAAGAGAGACATTTAAATAAAGTGTGATTGGATCTGTGGGCATGTATCTGCGCCGAGTGACAAGTGCTAATGAGATTCTATTACCACATGGCTTTTAATGAATAAATTAAAAAAAAAGGAAAACTATAGCAATAAAATGTTTATGCAGCACCGCACTTCAAACATTATTTCGAACCGACATTTTATTTGTAAAAGTTACAATATATAATTATTACCTTTTTATGCAACTTCTTGGAATTTAGTTAAAATTGTTCATCTAAAAGAATTTTATGAATTGCAATTAAATTGTCCTATAAAGTCGGCTGTTAGTTATAGGTTGATGAAAAGAATATGAAAAATATAAACAATGAAATATTTATAAAGCCAATAGGAAAGATACAAAAAAAAAAAAATCCCTAAACTTCAGCCGAGACATGCTGTTCGGGATCACGAGACTTGTGACCAATTATTTTGGAGGGCATACGAATAATCTAAGAAAATTCATAATGGGTACAAGATTCGACTAGCGAAAGTGGGTTATATATATATATAGTGTCAATAAATCAAACTTTAGACACGATATGCGGACAAGTCAATCTGTTGAAGCTTATTATTGATTCGTTTTAATAAACTAAATTCTCAAATACGTTTTTAAAGTCAACCGCGATTTCACGCACATTTTTAATTTCGTTGGACTTGTGCTAAAGTCAATTAAAAGCAATCATAGATATAATACACACAACCACACACACACACACACTCTCACACATATATTTAGGTGCGTGTGGAGAGCGAGAGAAATGCGCCCCGCGTTGCTGTCAATTCAAGAAATTCTGTTTTGATTTGAGACACAAGCCAAATGATAGAAATTTTAAATCCATAAATGTGTTGGCCACACCACACACATCCCACACACACACACACACACATACACATACACGTACACACGCACACACACTCGCTCGCTCACGCTTTTAATCAGCTGGGTGTCGATTCTCTTTCACAGTTGGGTCGACTTTTTAGCCCACGCTGCGAGCTTCGATTTCGAGGCAGTTCAAAAAAAATAAATATATAAAAATAAAATACAAAAATGAAAAGAAAAACAAACGAAAAAAAAATAACAGATTATTTTCCCTTTATTATATTTTAATACCCTGTACCCATTGAAAGGGACTCAAAAGTGGCAGAAGCTGGTTTCTCTGAGTGCATAAAGTACATATATTCTTGCTCATCATGTCGATAATTTCGATAATTTCTGATTTAAAATCGATATTTATCGAAATTATGGACAGATGAAAATCTGGGATATTAGAAAAGATAGAGTTTATACTGCGATTTAGAGCATTTCTGTGTTCGGATACCACACCTCAATCCCCGCATAACTAAAAAGAACTCTTTTATGTAAAATGTAGACCTTGTGCCTAGGTGTAGTCACAAACTATGCAGATAGATAGATGCTCTGCATAGGACATTTATTGGAATCGGATCGGATAGATCGGATGATCGGAATATAATAGCTTAAAGAACGAACGATCGCATTGATTAAGTTCTTGTATGAATAACTTTTTGTTTTTTTTAAATATATTAGCTAAGTTTAGAATTGAAAAGTTTAATGCTGCTACTTGGCTGTGAGCAAAATCTCATGAACAACTACCATATCATATAGATCTATAGTAAGAATCATTCGAAAAATATGCCTTTATATGGAAAACTAGTCTGTTTTTCATGATATCTTGACCAAAAGCAACAACTTCGTGCTTGCTAATACGCCACACATGTTGGCCACATGTCTGGAAGAGTATTTAATCTTCGGCTTGCCTTTTTTGGGGGTTTTTCGTTTTTTAGCACTGCAAAAACGTAGCTTTTAACAGCCTAATCGAGGCTCGCAAGCAGAAATCGATGCGCATTCTTGTTGCTCACAATTCAAATTTGTTGCTCACGGCCCAAGGCTTTGGTGACACTCGCGTGTCACTTGAGACGCGTGCGAGCGACAGTTGCTCAGGCTCGGACGGGGCCCAGGATCGATCAGGATGCGTGCAACGATAAGGAGCTTCTCGGATCGCAGTCGCGCAGCGCGTTTGAAATTGAGCTTTAGCTTGATTCGAGCCGCTACTCAGAGCTGAGTTGCCGTCTGTCAAATGAACTGTGCGCTGATCCGCAGCGACATGCAGACACTCGTATCACACTTCTCTCTCAGCCCGTCTCACATTCAGTTTCGTATGCCTTTTTTCTTCTTCTACTTCTTCTTTTTTTTTGTTGATTTATATATATATGAATATGCATATAACATATCGCTGATTGAAATTAATATTTGGTTTCGTCTCGTTTTTTTGTTTTAAGTTGAGTTGGCTTCCAAAGCGAAGCGTGTGGCCGCTAAAAGCAGCAACAACATCAACAACAACAACAACAACCAAAACTGCAAGCAGAAAGTGCAAAAACACACACAAACACACACACATGCACTTGGCACATAGCAAGCAGCAAGTTTGTTGCCTAAGTCTTTCGTTTTTCCTTGTGATTTTGTTTTCGGAAATGTAGCGCAAAATTTTGCTAGACACAATGCATAGTTATATATGATAATGCATACAATCGCGTTACCGTTATGCAAGCTTTATTGTAGCATTAACATTCTGTTGTTGTTGTTGTTGTTGTTGTTGCTGCTGCTGCCGCCGCTGACTGCATTTAAGCGTGCACATTATCAAAATGCTGATAAACGTTTAGCAGCAAGAATCCAAAGAGAGCCGAGCAAAGCAGTTAAATGAGACTTGTTGTTGTTGTAGCTGTTGCAATTGTAATCTTTGTTGTTGTTGCTTTAATTAAAATGCAAAAAGGCCAATTGCAAATGTGTTGCTGCCATGCGCAATTAAATGCAGCCAGCAGCAAGAGCAACAACAAGACTTGGCCAACAGTCGGTCCGACACAGAAGGAAGTCCGCCACCGTCGTTGTTGTCTGCACACTTAAGCATGTTTAATACAGTTTAGCCACAAGCTCTTAATTACAAATGCAAAGACTGTGCATGTGTGTGGGGGGAAAGGAGGAGGGAGAGTTATGAGAGGGATAGAGATATTGCGGAAATGTTTTGCTGACTGACTTTTGACTAGTGCCAATCGCGAGAGCAGCTGCCAGCTGTTGACTGGTTTTTCATGCATAAACTGCCCCAACACACACAGGCCCACAAAAAGGGTATAGAAATATATGCTGGCAATGTGTGTAATAGACAGCAGTAGGCAGCTCGTGCAACAAATTTGTTAATAAATATTAGATATACGAAGCGTTTCCCGTTTAAATATTAACAACTTAAATTTTATTCAAAATATTAATCAAGCATCGAGTCTGGGTGAACATGAACAGGTGCTCAGCAGGGCTGCAAACCTGTTTCAGAGCTGAACCGAACCGAAAACCAAACTTGCTGTCAAAAAACAGCTCAATCGAAGCCTGAACCAAACAGTTTCAAGAGCCGCAACCACGAGCATTCAGTTGGTACGAGCCATGAACCGAACCAGCAACAAGTTTTGCTGCTGCTAAGACACTTTATAGCTGGCTTCAGGCAATCTGCTGTACAGGCAGACTCGTCCAGAGTATTCCTGGGAGCTGCGGGCGGCGGGCAGAGGAAAAACGATTGCATTGAGGAGCTGTTGGCAGCTGGTCTAATGCAAAAGTCAAGTGTTTGCTGGGCCGATAATGGCCAGGCAAACAGTGAGAGTAAGAGAGAGAGAGAGAGAGAGAGAGAGCGGCAGAGGTTGCGCAAAAGAGATGGTGGCAAGTGTGGCATGGTGGCTTGCGAGATGCTGCTCTGAGATATATATAATTTATTCAAAATGGTACTCCAAAATGGGTCCTGGCCAAATCTTGACAAGACGGATTGGAGACACTCATATAGAACACTCAAATAGAACTGAATAACAAAAAATGTTCAATTCGCTTTAAAATACAATCAACTCAGATCCCTTCGAGTTGATTGTATTTTTGTATTTGTATTTTTGTATATTTTGGCAAAAACATTCAAGGTAGTCTCTTTATACCCAAACTATGTTTACAGTTCTTGACTTCTTTGCACGTGGTACAAGCAAGAACAAGAATCTATCCATCAATCTATCTATATAAGTATATGATTTTGCAGACATGTTAGGAGAATCATGTGTTCATATATACTTATTTGGAAAAAAGAAACATTTTGCATGCAACATGCAGCTATATGATATAATAGTCTGATGTTGATATGATTTTGTTCCGGCGAAACTAATTTACTTATTAATAAATAAAGTTAAGTCAAGTTATTTTGAAAATCAAAACTGCCTGCAGTAATTTATCGACTCGGTTGTTGCTGCATATCAAGAATATATACACCATATGGTTTCGGATATGTCTCCCTTTAAGCGTTACACATTTCGTGCCAAAATACCCTCTACAAGGGCATGACAAACATCTTTGTGTTTGGCCAGCTTAAATCGTATGGTTAATTTACATCTGCAAATGGGCCTAACAAGCTGCTCTAAAAGTGTCGCTGAGTGGGTTCAGCAAGAAGTCAAATGAATCAATGAATCAATTTGATTGGGGAGCGAGTAAAATCGCGAGCACTTTAGGCATTCGCGTTGCGATTTGTTCGGCTTCGTTTCACACGTTCCGCGAAAAAAAAAAAACACAAAAACAAAACTCAGAGCTAAATCGACTGATCGTGCTGTTGTTGTTGTTTTTGTTGTAATTTGTGCTCATAAAGTGTTTAATTGCAAATTAGCAATGGTATGCCACAAACTTGAAGGCAACTTTGTCGTTTTTGTTGTTGTTATTGTTGTTGTTATCACGTGTTGCATGTGTTCTAGCCATAAAGCTAAATAGCCCACAAATGGGATGCTAGAAAGGGATAGAGCGAGAGAGAGAGGGAGGAAGAGAGAGATGTATTGAATGAATTTATGCAACAGTTGTTTTACTTTTCACATGCGCACAGGTGGCAAAGACGACGATGGCGAGGATAGCCTGAAGAATGGGAATAGCGGCGCCAATGGTGAATCCCATTTGGGCCTCAGCCTGAGCAAGAAGCAGCGAAAGGCGCGCACCGCTTTCACGGACCATCAGCTGCAGACGCTGGAGAAATCCTTTGAGCGGCAGAAATATCTCAGCGTACAGGATCGCATGGAGCTGGCCAACAAGCTGGAGCTGAGCGATTGCCAGGTGAAGACCTGGTACCAGAATCGCAGGTGAGTTGGCGGCCCCTTTGACTTCTGCTTAATTGAGCAGGCATCGGCGGCATAGGGTCGGACAGGTCGGGCAGGGACGGGACTGACTAGAACTGTGTGTGCTAATCAGCGCCTTTTATGGAACCGCCCATTTCTTCGCGCACTTTTCCAATAAAAATCATTTTAATGGCTACCCCAAAGTCGTCAACCCCCCCTCCAGCATTCCTCCCTTGCACCGCTCTCGCGACGCTACGACCGGTTCGGAATCAGCGCTGGGGCTGTTTATGCGTTTTGTTTTTATGCTGATTGCTTAATTTGCTGCATTTTGCGCAAGAGTCGTAAAATGCTTTGCTGTTTATTAAATGAGTTGTTTACTTTTTTTGTGCGCCACTCTACGCAAGTTTGTTGCCTAAGTCTTTCGTCTGGCGTATTTTCGCTCGCATGTGTCCGCTACTGCTCCCTATCGGGGGGCGGCTCGGCGTCATCCGCTATTCGATTCGATTTCTAATAGCATTTGCCGCTGCTGTTTAAAAATAGCTGCCAAAGCCGCTGCCTTATTACGTTTAATAGCATTTTATTTTTATTTTCTTCTTTTTTTTCTTTTAATTATTGCCCAATGACTTGTCACATTTGGTTGGGCATTAAAGGCGGCTGCTAGAGCAGAGACAGACAGAGAGAGAGAGAGAGAGAGAGAGAGAGAGAGAGAGAGAGAGAGAGGTGAGAGAGAGAGAGTTGAACGCAGACCCAGGCCACAGACTTGGCATCTTGCAGGCCACTCGCTGAGCAAAAGCCAACCGGATATTGAGAGCGGTTCGCATGCTGGGCATAACGACTTGCGCATGCTCTGCAATCAAAGAAAGAGAGAAAGAGAGAGAGAGAGAGAGAGAGAGAGAGAGAGAGAGAGAGAGAGAGAGAGAGAGAGAGAGAGAGAGAGAGAGAGAGAGAGAGAGGGAGAGAGAGGAAGAGGAAGGAAAAGATAACAGTGGCCATTCAAAGAGACATATATAGGGGGATATCAGATAATACGTTTTGCAGTAGAAGCATCAAGTGACAAAAAGAAAGATGAGGATATAGAGAAAGAGATGGATATTAGATTCTTATACTAATAAATGCTCTCCATTAGACAGCGAAAAAGAATGATAAACGCGAAAAGAGCAAGCGAGAGAGAATGGAAGAAATAAAGAGGAACCTTAGATAAAATACGAATACGAATAATTAATGTTCTACAGTAGAGCCAGCGAGAAAGAGCCAAAGGGAGGGGGAAAAGAGAAAGTGAAAGAGAACCAGACAAAGAGAAAAAGAGGGAGAGGGGCTGGTATACCCTATATATGAATAACAAATACTCTACGTGTAACTAGGGAGAGAGAGAGAGCTAGTGAAAGACAGAGAGAATGGTTGGCATATAGGACTACGACTACGACTACGATTAGCAAGTGATCTATAGTAGAGCCAGAGAGCGTGGTATAGCGAGAAAGAGAGAGACGCGAAATCCTCGCTAAGAAACACTCTGCAAATTTTAAAAACTATGCCAAAGACGCGCATAAATTGCCTCACATATTCAATATGCCTAGACGCATAGGGTATGTTTAGTTAATTCTAAACATTTTCACAGCTGCGTGCGATGAACGCGCGAAAATTGCAGCTCAGTTCGGGGTCGAGGTTTCGGTTTTTGGGTTGTGGCTGGCGCCTAGACGCAATTAAAGGATTTGCCAAAGATACGTCAGCGAGAGGGACGCCAGATATAGGCCTCTCTCTCTCCCGCTCTCTCGCTCGCTTTCGCTGCCACAAATGCAGGCGTGCCAATGCCAATTAGGCCTCAGCCTGGTCTCTCTCGCCGCGGCTCCGTTGCAGTTGTGGTGGGCGTGAGTGCGTCCGGACTGCAAGATAAATGACAAAACAATTAAGTGCGAAATATAAACAGCAATAATAGCAAAGAGCAGCGACAGCGTCCTGGCTGGCGCTCAGCAGGCGGCAGGGACACGCGCAGTCAGCGGCATGAGTCGGCACTCTGTGCCATGATTAATAGCAACAACAACAGTTGCCGGATTAGTTTGGCTTAGCTCGATCCCTTGATGCCCAATGCCTGTTTGTGGTCTTTCTTTTTTAGCATTCGACACGCTCTCGCACGCAACTAATCGAGTGTTCCCTTTGCTTTTTTCTTTCCTGCCTTCCGCCACAGAACCAAATGGAAGCGCCAAACCGCCGTCGGGCTGGAGCTGCTCGCCGAGGCTGGCAACTATGCGGCCTTTCAGCGGCTTTATGGCAGTGCCACGCCCTATTTGAGCGCCTGGCCGTATGCAGCCGCTGCGGCAGCACAGACACCGCACGGTGCACCGCCCTCGGCCATTGATATATACTATCGCCAAGCGGCAGCAGCCGCCGCACTCCAGAAGCCAGCGCTTCCCGCCACCTACATGTACCCAAGTCGCATGCCACCGGGCATGGGGCTGCCGGGCATGCCGCCGCCGCCAGGTGCCGCGCCCATGCTGAGCGGCTATTATGCGCCGCCGTTGGCGCCGCGCGAACGCTCGCCGGCGACCAGCCAGAGCGCCAACAGCGAAGCCGAATACGAGCGCAGCAGCAGCAGCCGGCAGCGTCTGTTGACGCCAAGCCCGCCCCTAAATCCAGGCAGTCCGCCAGCGCGACGGGAGCATGCCGCCGAGGAGGCGCCACCGAATGCGGCCAAAACGTCCGAATCGGAGTCGGAGCGTGTTGAGTTGACGACGCTGCCAGCGGTCGAGGTGGATGAGGATGAGGACGATGACGAGCTGGCACTGGAGGTATGAGCGCTAGGCTCAAGGCTGGATCTCAGACGGCGATTACAACGGGACAGCTCAAAGTCACCCAGCTGCATGCTCAGTTGCCCCACGTAAATGTCTCACATTAAACAAATAAAAAATATATATTAAATATATATATATACTTTTTTTTTTTATATATATAAATCTAACTATTTAAAAAGTAGCTTAATGAATTTTTGTAAATTTTTGTAAATGTTTTGTACATAAGCAGGGAATTTTTTTTTGAAACCAGATTTTTTTTTTCTTATCTTTAATCTTTTTTGTGCCTAGTCTTAAGACGTCTATTGTGTGTTGTAATGAATAATAAAAGAAAAAAAAAAAAACTGAGAAATGAAAAAGTAAAAAGAGCAATCGAAAATATGCGAGAACTTTTGTTTTTCCAACTGTGGCAGCCGAGTGGCTGCTGAGTGGCAGCGAGTGTTCTTTTTTTTGCAGCTCAAGAGTCGCGTCCTGAGGCTAATGCGAGCTGACACACGAGTCCTGCTGAACGCTCGAGATATCAATGGGCCTCTTGACTGTGGGGCATGGTGCTCGAAAAACTGTTGCATTTTGGCTGCCTGGGAAGCGAGAGCGCAACGTGCTTCGTAAACTGTGCCACTTGCAAATTGTTAACATTTGCCAATCTCGAGCTGAACTCAAGTCCTCAATACTCTTAACTCTGGACCCCTGCTCGATGTGCACGGCTCTCACAGCGAAAGACGGCGCTGCTCGAGTGGCCGACGCCGAAACGTTTCTAATTGACTTGCAACCCTTGAGAGAAGCGTGGTGGACGGGGAGAAGGAGGGGGTTGAATTCGTTTTGGCAAGGACAAGGATGCACGACGCTGCACGGTTGCATCTACCCCGCTGTTTGTGTTTTGCCTATTTACTTGCCGCTTGCCATTTTCGCTACTTTTATGACAATCTCATTTTGCATAGCGCTTGTTGCATGCCACGGCTCTAAATTTATGGGGTTGCGGCTAAGCGAATTCAATTTGCGGTGCCTCTCAGCGGCAACCCCGAACGGGTGGAACATCTCACATCCGGTTAGAGTCAATCCACTCAATCGCCTGATCTGGAAACTGGTGGCTGCTGCGTGAAGTGGCCAACGCAACGTCGTCCAAGTCCTTGTCAAGTGTGTCTGCGAGAGGGTTCGATATTGTGCGTAGACCGTATCAACTGGGTCTTTGGGCTGTCGGCCCACGGTCCGGATCCTGGGAGTCGGCCGGGGCGTAACGCCTCGCCTCTGTAACAAATTGATTATTTGTTGCGGTTTTCTTGCCAACCGATTTGAATTTTTATGAGTGCCACTCATAAATTTATGAGTGCCGCACGACCGTGCGAAACTTTTCACAGCCATTACAATTCGTTAGCCATCAGCATCCGCATCAGCATCAAAAGCTGCAGCCGAAATGTGCGTAAAGGATTTTGTAATGGCCGCAGACTGTGCCACTAATTAAGACATTCGCTTTCCTTTCTCAGATTCATACCATATAGCATATTATAGATTTTAATCTTCCGGCATCAATGAAATCAGGATCCCGTAACAAATGTAACCAGCGCTTGTCATTTAACAAATCGATTTAGTTTTACCAGCTCTTAACAACACTTTCCAAACATTTCCTGCATGTGGTATTAAACTATTTACAAGTATTATTACCTATGAGGTCTTATTCCGAATAAGCAAATTACCCTCAAATGTGAGCTTAATTATAGATTTTGCCGGATTATTGCTTTATTATTATAAGGATATGAAGCTAGTCCAGGTTCGCATTGACGAAGAGTGAGAGAGAGAGAGAGAGAGGGGGGGGGGGGGGGGGAAGAGAGAGAAAGAGAAAGAAAGAAAGATAGTACCCTTGTATATATAAAAAAAAATTTTATTAGCTTACCAAATACATGACTGGGTAATATAAAACTTATCATGTAGGCACGAAAATCTGCAGGGCTCACATGAATAAATGAGAATCGCATAGTAGGTCGATTTTTAAAAATATTTTTTTTGGATCGAATTAGGTCTCAGGGTGAAGAGTTACCAAAAAAAGTTTGGTATACGTATACATATTCACATATATTCACAATCATATACATATACACATACACAAACATACACACATATCATACAAATCTTCATATGTACATACATAATGCATACATACATATACCTATATATGTGTGTGTAGACATACATACATACATACATACTTACATACACACATACATGCACTGTACATACTGTATGTAGGCAAATTGACACAAAAAAGTGAGGAAAGCTTGCCTTAGGTTGGCCTAGTTATTGTCCTTATATCAGTTCTATAGCCAGCCTTTTTTCGCCCGTGGAACATTTTCAACCCGCGTCTACTAGTTTGAATTCCGATTTGGATCTAGCGGAGCGTATATGTTTCAAAGTATGACAAATTTCACCCAGTTCTATAAAATTGAGTTTGAAGCCTATCGGTTGATAGACAAAAAAGTTACAAGCAGTGGTTTTCCACCAATTTTCCACATATGTGCGTGGAATTATTCGAAAACTCGTCTTAGTGACATCTCACGGGATAACTAAAGTGAAAATGCAACTCGTAAGTGCATTAATCATCAGTCTGTCAGCCAGACAATCTGTCAACCACTCAGTTAGTCAGCCTGTCAGTCAATTAGTCAGTCTGTCAGTCTATTAGTCAATCTGTATATAGTACTAATCTATATGAATAGATTTGCGTGTTTCGGTACCCAATGGTGACACAGTAACTGCTCCCAAGTTGAAAACTCTTTGCATAATTTTGTTGTCATATCACAGTTGATTGGATAAGAATCGAGGCATTAGCATATTGATTGAGCGTAAAGCCAATGTAAGGGACTCTTTTCAATCGATTTAGTTGCCGGAATCGTACAAACTGCCATTGAAATTGTGGGAAATAATTGAAAAAGGCAACTTGGGCCGTCTTCCTCTTTTTTTTATGTGTTTTTTTGTCATAGAATTTGTGGCCATCTTGAGAGCAGATACGCTTTATGTGGACTGCTTTGTGCGTCCAAGCTGACAAAATGCTTTCACACCGGAAGCTGCTGCAATGCGTTAAGCGTCGTCGCATCTTCTTCTTCTTCTGCTGCTGCTTCTGCTTCTCTTCCTGGCTAATTGACAACTTTTGTTATGCTGCTCAGTTCCTGCGAGTTTTTTATCTTGCGCTGCTGCTTTGTTGGGCTAATTTGTCACAGGACACAAGTCGACTAACTGCTGCATACTAAGTAGTAAAAGGAGTCCGGGGAGACAGTTAGCACAGGGGTTCGGCGGGGAGGCTGGCTTTGATTACACAGGCAATTTGTTGCGCACAATGGTCGCAAGTCGTAGCCGTTGGACGTTGGACGTTCCCGCTTCCGTTATCAATAAATTTGTGCGCTTAAATGCGTGTTTATCAAATTTAGTTGACAACTGCGCACACGCAGCCCTCAATCAAGGGCCGGAAGGCAGTGTATTTGCCCAACCCGCCATCGTGAAGGATGCGAACGGAAGCTTTGCGAAATTTATGTAGCTGAAGGTCAAGGGTTCGGGAGCAATGCTTGCAGCAAGGTTAAGTCTAAATCAATATTGAGTCACAGCTGCCGCAGCCCCGCCGCCCACCTCACCAGCTGCCTTTGAGCGAAAATATATATACATACATATACATATACATATATTGTAAATGGCTTTGTGGCGCCAGCAGCTACAGAAATCGATTTGCCGTTGGCCCCCGTCGCCAGTTAAACGCTGCAAATTACTGCGGCTGCGACTGCGGCTTACAGCAAAAGCAACAGCAGCAGCAGCAGCAGCAGCAGCAGCAGCAGCAGCAGCAGTGGCGGCTACTGGTTTTGAACCTGCGGCCCAATTTGCATGCGTTTGCCTCAGATACAGATGCAGCTGAGGCTGGCGATGCTGAGCCGGCGGCAGCTTTGGATTAAGATGCAGGGCCAAGGAAATTCAGTTTCGGCATCATCTTCGATTTGCAATTCGCTGCGCAATTGCATTTGCGGTTTACCAATTTTCAATCAATTCTAACTGTGCAGCGCAATCAGCTGAATCCCTCGCCAAGTGGCCAAGTGGCCATGTGGAGTCGTTGCCCAGGCACGCGCCAATGTCAAAAGGTTCTCACAGAGCGTGGTAAGCCGATACTTTTCTTTTGTTTTTTTTTCTTCTTTTGTTTTTGGGGCGCCAGGGCCAAGTGCCGTTAGCCAAGTGTCTGGAATTTGTTAAACGTGTGTGGTCCCTTCCCTGCTTTGAGCCCAGCCTGGGAGTGAGCTCTGGAAGCGCCAAAAGTCAAGCCTTTGTTTATGCGGCACGTGGCCAACTTTCGTAACGGACTATGATTGCAATTGCGACATCGACAACTTGCAGCGGGCAACTGGCAACTGAAGTGTGACTAAACTGCGCCTACGGCTACATAAGCAGCCCATCCAGGTTTACCCCTGGTTGCCAAATGGACCGCAAGCTGTGCGAGGTGCCAGCGGCACATTAAACTTGTGCCCAAATCCAGCCAGCGCACTGCACACGTTAATGGCCAGAACAAAAGGCAACAATGCCCAGAAAGCAAACAGTTGCTCACGGGATCCAATTACCCAGTGCCATAGCCGAACTTGAAGTCGCCTCCGACTCCGACTCCGACTCTGACTCTAACTACGTGTCCGACACCCCAGCTATGGCCAATTTTCAATTGTGTGCCACGGCCAAAAAGGCAACAGCAGGCGATGCGTCGGCATTGAAGGCGAACGCTACAGCAACTCGCCTGGCACGCAGTCTCTTTGACACGCCATGCCCGCCATGCCGCACGGGGGATGAACAACGAGGGTGGCATCAAAAGTTCGCCAAGCTGTAAGGGTCCACATAAGTGGCTTATTTATGATAATCATTATTTGCTTTGTGCAAGCTCATAAAATGATTTCGAGCGTTAAGGCCTGGCTTGCAAGCCTAGCTTGCCGAATCCTTGAACTCAGCTGGGTTTCTCAAATATGTTTCAGCTTTAAAAAGAATATCTCAAGTTGTTCTTCTTAAATACGACTTAAGGTTCGGCTCAAAATATTTTCTACCCATTCAAAACATTGCAGCGCACTTGACGTACTTTAAAAATTTCTATTTTTGAGTTTCATATTTCAAGTGTAAAAACCTTCAGGA